CGCATTTGATGAGTCCAAATTTCAATCGAATTTGAAGTGAGTTAATTCAGTTGTTTTGGTTCAGTACCGGATATTCTATCGAGAACGGCGATAGTTTCGAATAATAACGATGAAACATGTGAACAGAGTTTATCTTCTGGTGCAGTGGAAATTTTCATGATTTATGTTATATGGCGTTGCTAGTGAGCATGATTATTATTGTTAGTACCATAAAAGTAGTGTCCTCAAAATATTTATATAATACAGTTAAGCAGTCCGGCAACTATTTGAAACTTTACGTGTCTCATTTTCAAAAGAAAATAACATTTCAGAGAGAATATATTTTGAAAAACTTCTTCAGATATTGTGGGAATTTTTTTCTTGCCATTCTTAGCAAGTTTTCATTTCATATTTCTTACATTCACGTTTAAAATAAGCTTTTTGCAAGTTTATTCTTCTTGTGTTTGGAGTGAAAATTTGAGAGAATATTTAAATATTTTAAATTTCATAAGATGTGCAAAAATATGAAAAGGCATTCAAGGTTTTGAATTCAAGTATTGTACCCAAACAGTCAATTTTTCACAAAAAATTCAATTGTGTGCGATTATATTTTCAAATGATGAGCGACTTTTTTAGCGCACTCAATCGAGAATTGTGTGCGATGCGAGTGGAAGGCATTTATGAAGCACAAGTGCCAATCGAGTTTAGAGCGATCCTCGAGTTGGGATCGTGTTGTAAACTGAAAACTGATCGATCGTCGACATTCACAATGACAAGTGTCAATTTGGAGCAGCTGGAAGCGGTCATTTTCTTATATTCCAAGCTTATGTTTCATTTCATTTATCCATCAAGTTTTTATTCAGCAAATTAGATTCCTCGCTTCCAAATCTTCCAGATCAATTCATTCTATTTCCTTTAGACGAACTTTTTGATGAGATGAAACTCAATTATTAGAAATTTTAATTTTTGAAAAGGAAATACAAACTTGGAGTATATAGTGGATTTGCAGTTACTTCGCGGAATTTTGCTCCCGAGGGAAATAAGTCGCAATGAGCGAAGGTGTGATCATAGATAAACGTTTGTCGATTGCAACCTGGAGTAATAATAGCAACAAGTTAATGACGGAGTATCGTTCAGGTGACCGATGCAGAATATTTGCCTGAGAAGAGCATTCGAAGTGCGTATTATTATGAGTATCGACAGGATAAGTTTTGTGTTATTGCGGTCATTAACACGGCCGCGAACGATGCGATTATCGTTGGTGTGAATATGGAATTCCCGAATGTCACAAAAATTTATGACAACGAAAAAGCAGCGCTGTTAGTTGACTCTGCATTGGATCGTGTGCAAATTTTTATTGGATGTTTACTCGACGTTTAGATATTTTGGTGATTTAACGAAGCGTTTGTTCAGGATAGTTTTAAATCTTCATGGGTTACTTGAAAATTTGCAAGTTATTTATATTATTTAGAAAGAGGGTGGAAACCTGTTTGCTTTTTTTCCTATCAACCGGTTGACGAGTCAGATCCTGATTCGGAAATACGGAAATTTTTGTGGGGGAGGGGTAGAGGGAAGGGCAGTTAAATTCATGAATGCTATGAGCCGTGATGTAGCCATAGATTATAGTCGGATAAGTTTAAGTTGTTTTGGATTTTTAAAAAAATTGTTTCGCCTTTATTCTGTTTTTTCTTGAATGTTCGACTGTATGAATTTATTTAGGGAAGGAACTGCAGTCACGCCATTACTGGAGCGTAAACCAACAGTGAACTTCAATACGTTCCAATGCGCAACAGTGAAAGAAGCGCAAAATACAGTTGACAAGGTTTTGTTGATTCATTTCAGTGGGAATTTTTTGTTTGTTTGAGGTAACCAATGCATTTCGGGGTACCAGATTTACTTCATTAAATGGGGAAGAGTGGAATTTGCATATCTTAGGGGATCTAACATTCATTTTTATTGATCCTCGTCGTATTGTTAGGTCGATGTACTTGCACATTTGGGTTTTGATTTGTCGCGAGAGAATTAGTGATCATGAAGAGGAAAGGAATTTTTGTTTTTTTTTTGATTTTACGAAATTTTCACTGAACTTTCTTTTGCATTCTAGTATTTACGTGCTATTCGTCAAGTGGACACGCAACCGATGTTCATTGCTGTTCATTCCAACGAACAGACATCGGCACTGATGAAGGGTGTTCAGTCGTTGAAAGAGTTTCCACTTGTCAGAATTCATTGCCCCGAACCGACGAATTTATTCAGTGCACTCGACTGGCAACGCAATGTTCCGCGACGAATTATCAAACATTATTTCAATTCATTCGTTTATTTGCATGTTCGTCTTCGTTTTTAGTTATTTTATTTGAATATTTCAATTTGAAGCTTTTCATCGATTAGAATTTGTTTCCAAATGAATATTTCGTGTTTCAATTGCAGTGTCGCTAACAGTAAGAATCAGTGTAATGCATCGTTATTTGATGGAATTTTGAATATTTATACGTATGTATCATATTTTTTTATAGGTATTGAAGCATTATTTGTCATGAAAAACTTGACGAAATCATCAAAAAGAAAGCATCCAAAGTAGTGATTTCAATGCAATTCTCATCTCGGAAAAGAGGGAGTATTTTTTCGAGAAATATTTTCAGGATTATGTTCAATATAGTCGTTATTTGCGGATACCATTGGGTAACGTTCCCGCAGACATATCGCTATTTGCTGCGGATTTGTTCTATGCTCGACACCTGACGAAATTCGGTCATGTTTTGTGGATATCACCGTTGATAAGGCCGGATTTAGGTGGTAAGGAGTTGGACGATTGGAGAATCGGCTCTGACTGGAATTATTCGGCCGTGACTGATCGCCCACCTGCAATCGTCAACCATAGCAGGTTATCTTTGTCCTGTTCCGGATTCTTTGATTAGGGCTGTTGCTGCGGGAAGGGGACGCAATGAGGCTGATCTCGACCTTCATCTGTGATTTTTTCACAAATTTGTGGGTTGATAAGTGATAAATCTATCGATGAAAGTGGCAGTAACTGCTGTGATGAG